TCAAGAAAATTAATTTTTTCATCCTTCACTCTTCTTCCTATTATGTAACAATATGTGGATTTCGTGGGAAAGGCTCGCCTTCGAAATTCAACATTTCAAAATTTGAACGAATTTGATCCAGCAGGAAGAAAGTTACGGCCGAAAAAGCATTTGGCCGAACACTTATGAGCTCTACTGTATGTGTCACAATTTGTTTGTAAAGCCTTTTCCAAAATTATTCCCAGATTCAAGTTTTTAGGAAATTTGTAGGCGGAACTATAATTATGCGTCGCAGTGTACAGCGATACAGGCTTCAAATCTCTTCTCAACTAACATCACTGTGGGCCGCAAGTAGCTGACGTCAAGCTCCTTCCACGCCTCCTCCAAGGAAGCCTTCAGGAGTCCAAACTTCGACGTTGCTCAGAAGGCATCTTCTGCTTCAAGAAACCCCACACCGCCAAATCAATTGGTTCAAATCGGGCGACTTAGATGGCCAAACATTTTGTGCCCGGTAACTTGGAAAATGACGGTCACAGTTCTCCAACATTGATTTTGCGGCATGTGGAGGCGCCCTGTCTTGCTGAAGAATGCAATGACGTTCGCTGAAGGTCAAAAGAGTCCTTGGAAGAAGGGCATCACGTGAAAATTGTTTCCGGGTAGATCTGGGCGCTGGCTTTGATGTATTCATCCACAAAGACAAGCGGTGTCATGGTTTCAGAAGTAATTCCTGCCCAAACCATGACAAATTTGAAAAACGGTTCCTTGTGTGTACACAAGGTCGAGCAGAATGTCTGCTAGCCAGATCCAACAACTGCCTGTCGTTTTGCAAATCGTGCGCCACTTCTGGTCTGAAGATCTACTCACGTCACGCCGACGTCAGCTACTTGCGGCCCACGGTGATGTCAGTTGAAAAGAGACTTCAAGCCTGTATCGCTACCAAAGGAGGCCATCTCGAGCACTTTCTTCAGTAATGAATTTTCATGTTTTATTGTATATAAAAATAAACTTCTGAAGATGTAATAGCTTCTCTTTTGGAAATATGGTCAATAAACCATGCGCCAATATTTAGTAGCCACCCTGTAGAGCATAGAAGTTGGAAACTCCACACGGGAAAAATCGGCATTTCGACAGCTGCTATTCCTCGGTTCAATAAAGAAGAAAAAACGCCAAATTGGAAGTTCTTTTGAATCCATTGTTCTAATCGAACCTTGCTCTAACCGACCCTACCTTTTTCGCTCAAATTAAAACCATATTCATTTCGTACAAATTGAGAATAATAAGGACTCCGAAAACGAGCTCAATATTTTTTAAATTCTATATCCGGTGATCTCCTGCGAAATGCAATCAAAGTTGTAAATAATGACGAAGTGAACATCACTGATTAGTTTTGTTTTTATTTTTTGCTTCAAATGTTTGTGTGAAGAAATGAAAAATGCAAGCGCTACGATATTATGCTCCAACCCAATGGAAGCACTTCGGAATATCTATAAACTTACTTTCTCCGTCGGGTCCTACTGCCGTGCTTTTTTACGCTAGCTTTTACGCATAACTCTGGACCCTGCCCATGATTGCAAACTATGAGAACACCATTAAAAACATTCTCCCAAAGGACATGCTACTGCTTTTTGATTTGATCACCATCCTTGTTTGAGCTTATCCTTGTTTTCTTCCCCGTGAACTGTTGCTTTCCTTTAATTTTTCGTTACTGTTACTACCACCACTGGAGCTTCCATTTCACTAGTTGACTAGTTGACTTCACTCCCGGAGAAGGAAGGCTTATAAGCCTAGACTTACATTAAATGCTAAATGGGATCCGGTCATGACGTCATGGGAATCTTGAATAAATAACTATACACTCGCTTCCCAACACAAGTTCAGAAAGTGTATCAATACAGGTCACTAATCCAAATATTAGCATCCAGTTATGCTGCGCGTTGTCGAAGCGCTTTCTCGTTTTCTTTTTTTTTCATCTATCTTCTTCCTGTTCATCTTCCTCGGGTGGAAGCGGTGTAGTGACAAGTGGCGCTGCTTACCATACGCGCGGTATTGGGTCGTGAGTCGCCCGGGCCAACCAAGCCTTCCATCCCTCCGGGGTCGGTTAATTGGTACCAGACTTGTCTGGGAGGATAAAAACACTGACTTGTACATCGGCTGGCCCCGCAAGTCATTGTATAGGCCACATCGCATTCAAACGCCACTACGAATGTACAAATGGAAGTAGAATGCGTGCCGCATCCCAAAAAGGGATTGATCAACGGCAAATGCTTTATCCTTTTACCTTCTCCTGTTAGGTAAGCGATAAATTGCTTTCGAGCAGGTGTGGGTTTTGTGAATTGTGAGTGGGGCATACAATATATGAACGTCAAAGAGACGCAAGAACAAGTTTGCCTCATGCTACTTGGATGATTGTTAATGCCAGCCACGTAATAAGGGGATTACGTTCCTGTTGGAATTTCTGGGCGGGTGCATAACATTAATGAAGTTTAAATTTATATACTCGACATTTGGGAAGATTTTCATCAAAAACTCAAAGAAGCCACGTATGAAATTGAAGGGTAGTATCTGCTTTATATAGGTGTGGCTAGAATGGCTAAGCTTTTAAGTCGTTTCCACGAGAGTTCTGGATCCAAGTTTTTTGTTTACATGTTATCATCGTATTGCCTTGTCAGCACGCTACTGCACAATGTGCTGAGAACGACAGTTCGTAGAATGCATTCGTAATTGCTCTAAAAGTATACTCCATTATTTAAAGCTTTTTTATGTTGTCTTTGTTCGAATAGATTGCTGAGAAGTGCCACTTTTGAACCTCTTAATTGAACAGTTCGCACACTCTCGCCGAGCACCTAACCATTACCGTCCCCCTCATCATTGGCCACGTGAAAGTGTCGTGCTCAGTAAATATTACTTAATAGTTTTACCATGTAGTCCTAACTTAGTCTATATTTTTGATTTTAAACATCATCTGCGTTTCACGAAGGCATTTCAAGGGCATTGCTCGGTGCATTTTGATGAGGTAACATACATCGTTTACCCCTCGTAAATCCGTTTCAATTAGCATCACTTCGATATAGTGTAGTAGGACTCTCTTATTGAGCTTTCCGAGATTTAACTTCATCGAATAGGACAGTCGAGAAGGCAATTCTGGGTATTCAAATGTACCGTTCCGTTCTCTGTTCTCTTTTCATGTACGCCTTTCAAGTTACCCCACCGTCCAATTAACTTCCATTATAGTTACTTTGGCTTTTGGTATACTAAATAATACATTTGCAGTTATAATGCCTTCTGCATGTGTCGTCTCGTCCTTAGTCATTGTTCTAGCTGTTAATAGTATGGCTGACGCCATCAGACTAGTGAGTGATTTTTCATATTTTTCGCTAAAAAACGATCTCCTGAACACACCACGACGCTGCCCTGTCCTCAGCCTAGAGCAATCGTTTTTAGCGAGAGTATCGTCGTCCACAGTGCACAACAGAGCAAACCTGCTCGTACGAGGCGTTCGGAATGGTCTTCGCGTTGTGTGATTGCCCTGGTGAGGAACAATCCTGCCCACAAGATGAAGAGAACGCAGTCGAGCACCGAGGAACACTATATAATGTGAGTTTCGGTTCCGATGTTGCTTGTGAAAGAAAATTAACAAGTGGATAAGAGAGATAGGGTCATAGACGCCTCCCCATATCCCGTCAGTAGTGATGAGCAGGAGGGCGAGAGAAAGAGAGAGAAAAGTTACCGGCTGTGCCGTCGCAAACGCATGCTGGTGACGTCACAAAGGTGGCGCGCGCGGCGAGACGATCCAGCGTCACTACAACTTCCAAATGATGTAAAGGATGCTAGGAAGTTATAAATATATATCTCTTTCAATCATTAGTGCCGACAGTGTATTAGTTTTTGATGTCGTGCTTGCCCTAAGGAATTTTCGATTTTTTTTCAAACCGTTGCGTCCATGTGTGAACCCTGCATGGTTGAGTTGAAGTTGTTCACAATAAGGTTCACCATTCGTTATTCCATTTCGAGTTTTCCTTATACTCTGCGGTGGAGGTAAGTTACGGGAAATGGTGGTAGTAGATAATACATGGAGTATTAGCAGCAGCTCATTGAATCGCTCGTACTCTCCCACCCCCACCCCGTTGTCACGTCATCAACACGCACCGCGACCGCGCCACTGGTGAGTGTTTCCGTGAAGCCAGATTTAGCAACTAAGTCGGACTAAGCAGATATGTGAATAAACCGTGACTCAGCGGTGATGTTTAGCGCGTCCTTCTCTCGATTTGTTTCAGTATGCCAGCCACTCCACTGAAAAAAATTTCGGTAATGGCGAATACTGCAGGGCTTTTAATACATATTTCGTATCCTCTAAAGTTCCCAAAATTATTCCTCATCCCAAGAAATTTTCCCACACGTGCCTTCGGAAGATACAATGCCTGGTTTAGCATTTCCATTCCCTCCCAACCCTTCCCCCTCCACCTTCCATAATCGCGTACACGGCCCCACTTGCTGCTTGTTAGAACTCCTCGGCAGGCAGCTGACCCAGGCTCTAACGCTGGCGGTATGCAAACAAAATGAAAATGAGATGCGGATGCAACTGAAGGCTTCGAAATCGCAGCTATTCTTGTTCCTCCCTTCAATTCGCTCAGAGTCTCATGATAATCACGCTTAAGCAGCCCGTTTTCAGTTCTGCACGACCCGCAATGTGCCAATTTGTGAAGATGGACAGATATCTACTACTGTGAGCGGGATCCAGACAGCGATTTACTGTGTTTGTCCAGACAACAATGATATGGTTCAGCAACAGACTCTCATCAAAGGGGTTACGAATTACACGTGTCATCAGGTAACATTGTGAAACTTTGTGAAACATTGTGACCAGATTAAACCGTCCGATGTCATCAATTACTATAATTGCGGTGATGTCTTGACATATTAGTATGCCAAGGAATGTAGTATTACTTAAACATATATGTGCAATACGTTAGGGCATTATCAATTTACTCACGTCAAATGAGCTTCTGCAGTTGTTCCCCGAAATCGACAATGTTGTTCAAACACGAGAAACTACAACACTTCACTGGATCACCACAGGTGTTGTGTCTGCGTTGTGTTGCGTGAAAACAGAGTTCTCATCGTTAACCTACCCCAAAACTTACAAAACCCCTTATCCTGTCAAATTCACAAGACACGCTAACATTACTTACATGCTCGTCCTCGATAACAGCTTGAAGTCATTGTGCTGCCATCATTGCCCGAACCAGGGTCAACCCTATCGTTGTTACTCTTTGGAAATTTTTTACGACCCCCCCCCCTTCATGGGTGATTTGATACGACCCCCCTTGTATGTGACACTTGTGTAGAGACAGTGTTTACCATCAATATTTATTTCTACGTAAGTCATCAAAGATGAAACTTTAGCAAAATCCACGACAGATATTCATCGCTGCTTCCAAACACGAAAAAATGAGATGCATTCAAAGATATCCGTGTACTCCAAAGGGTTACCAAACTAGGAGATGAAATAAACTGAACCAGTGACCGAATATTGACAATATTACCTGATAAAAACTTATGAGAAGTCAGAAAAAATTATCGCTCCAATTGAAATACTGAAATCCTTCACGTTCTTCAATTGCAACACAACAATTTTTACACCCTCTTTCTAAGGCTATAACTTCCTTCATATTCGAGCTTCTGCGCCGAAGTGATTTGATTTGGAAAATTCAAATTATTCTCTCTCCAACCATGGGTAAAAATTCTTCGAAAGTTAATTTATAAAAATTTAGTACGTTGTTACTTTTTTCTGTGCAAGTGCGACTTTGCTCATACGATTATTGGCTTCAGGCTCAGTTCATGCGGAACATGAACGTTATGGGAGGAAAATGAAGTGATCAAGCTCCTCAGAGCCCAATCGTTTCGTAGGTCAGCAGTTCAAAAATTAGTCCCGTTGTTACTTTTTTTGAGGGGTATTATCAAGCCATTTTCCCGAAAACGCGGGTTTTCTTAGGTTTCACTGCCCGTAACTTCTTGGAAGACCAATTTTATGTTCAATTTAGGATGTGCTAGAAAAAGCTTTGGAGACACTACATCCTTGCCTTGGTTGGTGCGCGCCACGCCTCGGGCGCCCTTCTAATTCGCTGATTCATTTGAAAGCTCATTTAGAGGGAAGCGTGGTTTATAGATGCTCTAGTATCAGTCATCTTACGAAAACGTAACGTGCTGGCTATTATCCGATATTACCAAGAATCCCACTGTCGGCCACCGAGAGGGTACGACCCCCCCCTCCAAGCTCAACTGAGTACGACCCCCCCGTTGTTACTCGTAACAACGTAGGGTTGACCCTGGCCCGAACCTCCGATTCCCTGTTTTTCGCATGTTTTGCCATGAACCCCCCTTACAGCTTTTCGTTAGGTGAAATTTGTACAGAGCCCGATATAATCGCTCGGAGAAGACCTAAATGGTGCGACTAGGAGTTTAAAAAAGATGCATCGTTTCCAAGAGCTGTAGCCCCAAAAAAGGGAGGAACTTCCGGTCAATGTATTTTTAAAAGGGACCTCTGTAGGAAAATTCTGAGGAAATCATAGCACAAATAATCGCACTGCAGACCTTAGGAAAAAATTTGCATGGTCGGCCGGCCTGAGTATTTTCGTCATACCGTAGTCTCGTTTTTATATGATGAAAAAGCGCCTCCTTTTGACTTTGCTTTGGCTTAGCATTTTGCGCTTACACAAGAGGATAGTCACGTGGGTTTAAAAAACTTGTTACGTCACTGGCTTAGAGTCAATTCACATTGGCTCCTCTGAGTTTGAAAGACAGTAATAAATGAAAAGGGTTCAAAAACGTGGCTCTTCCATGTTTCGAAATAAAGTAGCCTATCTACGTGCTAAAATTTTACTCCGAGCATGCCTTCTAGTCGTAATTATAGCAAACGCGGGTGGTAATGAACCCCTTCAGTTATCGCAATGAAGGAGACAAGAATAAGAATGAATCAAGAATAACTTTGCTGTAGCTCTTGAGTCTTAGTCTCAAAATGTGTATTTACCGAAAAGTGAGCAGGAGTTTGGCTGTGGCGAAAGTTTTTGCGCCAGGTTCATTTTTTACTTTGTTTTTGAACAGTTCCCTTTAGCATGTGTGACATAATGGAAACCATCTTCGCAACAATTTTTTCCTTTTATTGTGCTGCTTTCTGTATTTTACACAGTGCGCACCATAGTGGGAATGGTTCATCAAAAACGCCTGCATTTCTCTTGAATAGGCGGTTTCAGTATTCCTTGTTTGCTTAGGCGGTTTCATCAGCTGTGATTTGATCATTGATTAACTAGAAAATATCAGGCAGGAATGAAGCTGGACTCGATGTTTAGCTGGGTTTGATACATGAATCGCAGTGATGATCTGTGGCTCCTTACATTGTTCTTCATTCAAACATGAGATCTAATATTCACCCTCAAATATTTTTGATCTAATATTAGCAAAGAATAAGGGACAATGCCGCTCAGATGTGAGTGAAAATTTCCAAAGGGGGGAATCAAGGGTCAGTTCCCCGTAAAGATGTGACTATTCCCCTGTCTTCACGCATTACCACCTTCAAAAAGATCCTTATTCGAAGTTCTTCGAAAATTGCAGATTGCTCAGCTTTGCCACTGTTAAGGGAGAGCTTGGACTGAATTTTGGAATTGGGAAAACGGGACTATTGTAAGTGCAACTGACGTTAGTGGTTGACCCATTAATAGAACTTCATAACACTGTTTGAAATCTACTAATAGCGTTTTGCACTCAA